AAAAACTAATTTCGTCTTACTAGAATGGGAGAGCAAATTATATACTAATTCAAGCTTTGCAAAGTTGAGCTATCCGGCTTTTGAACCGCACACCTATATCATAAAAATTATTTATAAGTTGTGCCAAGTATAATGTACTGAGTGGCAAAAAAAGGTTTGAACACCTACGTATGATTATTAGAATTCAAGAATTTTTTACATATTATTTACTTTGCCATGAGCAACAAGTGATAAAATGGTGAGGTGTTTCTGTTAAGGTTTTGTGGTGACTGCGTGTATTGTTTGGTGATAGAGAAGCATTCAGTTTTCGTACATTTACGGTGTCAGTTGAATGGTAAATTCCATGTAGCTTATTGAGAAGCCTTTTGTGATTGCTCAAATTACTAGAGTGCGTACAGTTCGCCGAGTGTCCCATCTAAGTGACTTTGAGAGTGGTCGAATTTGTCGGGTTGCATGAGGCCGGTCTATCGATAAGAGTTTCTAGGAGGACCATTATGCAGTATACTGCAGTGCGAACGAGCGTAGACTCAGGAAGGTATATGACAGCGAGCGAGGGGTTCTCGACGTCGGCGTCCCAGAGGGACCACAGAGCGACAAGACCGCCGGTTAAAACTTCTGACTGTGAGAGACAAATTCACTAGTACTGGGACCATTCATTTTACTAGTAAGGGACACTGAACATATATGCCAAAAATTATTAAATTCGGATAAATATACGTAGGTGTTTTTTTGTCACTAAGTATAGCTAAAGGTATGTGGGCATTATGTTTTATCTTGTAAAAGACATGCAAAATTAGTTGTTGGGTTGTTTAAAACTTTAATTTCAATAAGTTTTATATTTATAGAAAAGTTATGTATGCGTTGTGTGCCATCGCTATACGAAAATCTGTTTTTCGTAAATGGCGGTCCGTGGCCCAGAAGCATCGTATATGGACCGTGTAGTTATTATTATTATTATTATTATTATTATTATTATTATTATTATGATAATTGAGATGAGCAGAGTCCACAATACTATAAGCTCATGCAGTAAATATAGTGTACGGACACGTAACACAAATACATCAAATAGAAAAAAATAAAAAAAGACAGTTCATAGCTATAAAGTTTGTACACTCCTCCAGCTATCATACTGCACTTTGAAGCTATTAACTGAAGTAGCACCAACCACACTTTCAGGTAAACTATTCCAGGTGTTGAATATGCGGTTGGGAAGAAACCACTGTCGGACTGTTGTTTTAAATGGCTCCTTATGCAGTTTGAAGCTGTGTCCGCGTAGATTCCTGCGCGACAGACGGTATAGATGCATGAGGTTGGTGCCCATCAAACCATGAAGTATCCTGAACGTAACTATAAGATCGCCACGAAGTCTTCGCTCAGAGAATGAGGTCAGGTTGAATAATTCAAGGCGATCTTCATAGCTTGGTCTTCGTGCTCCAAAAGGGATACGAGTAGCCCGACGCTGTACTGATTCGACGAGATTTCTATCGCGCAGAAGCACAGTGTCCCATACCGGGCCAGCGAATTCAAGAATTGGCCTCACGAATGCCTTGTAAATGTAAGCGCAAGTGTTGACATCGGATCCTTTGAAAGACCTCTCCAGCATGTATAGAAGTTTCTTGGCTTTTGATGTAACGTGGTGAATATGCTCTGACCAGGAAAGACGATCGTTGACTACAACGCCCAGATCAGTGTGGCTGGAAACTGCTTCGATGTTGTGGTCAGAGATCTTGTATGTAAATCGCGGATTTGTCTTCCCGAGGTGAAGGACACAACACTTAGTTAGATTTAAGGGTAAAAGCCAACTGACTGACCATTGACAAACAATATCAAGATCTTGTTGAAGCATAGCAGAATTTACGACAGTATTGTAAATCTTGGTGTCGTCGGCATAAGCTGAACATGTGGAGGAAATCAATGCAGGCAGGTCACTTGTATATAGAAGGAACAGCACTGGCCCCAAGACAGAGCCTTGAGAAACTCCACTTGCTACATGATGAAGGTGAGACTGGCTATCACTGACGCGCACAGAGAAAGTCCTCCCGGTGAGAAAAGCCTTAATCCACAGTAACAACTCGCCTCTTATTCCCATACATTCCAACTTAAACAGAATCCTTCTATGTGGTACGCGATCGAAAGCCCTAGAAAAATCTAAGTAGATTATATCAACAGGAGTCTTTGTGTCCAGATACTGAGTCCAATCGTTGAGAGAGTGGAGAAGGTTGGTCATTATTGATCGACCAGAGAGAAATCCATGCTGATTCTTAGGGATAAGGTCATTTTCGAAAGCAAATGACAGGAGCTTATCTAATATGATTCTTTCAGCTATTTTGGCGGCGATAGGAACGAGACTTATTGGTCGATAATTTTTAGCGGAGGATTTGTCGCCCTTTTTGAATACAGGGGTAACAGAAGCACTAAGCCAGCATGAGGGTAGGGTATGAGATCTAAAAGACGATGTGAATATCAAGCTTAATGGTAGGGCCAGTGCTGAAGCGCAGTTTTTAAGTACAGCAGCCGTCATCCCATCTTTACCAGGGGAGGAAGAGGTCTTCAGATTTCGCAGGTGCATTAATACATCTTCAGTTGGGACAGCAGCACCCCAAACATGTGAGTAGTAGTGCTGGATGTTGAGCTGAGTTCGTATGCGTTACAATGGAGCAATTTATCTAACAGCATGAGCATCATTATAAAATCCGTTTTATTGTATATTAAGCCACAAATTGTTTAAAATACCACCCCTTATAAATCAGCGTTGCATACGTCTATGGTTGCCAAGGGCTACATTTTATTTGAGAGGTTTTTTTGATAGGGAACGGTCGTACAATGGAAAGGTCGAATAAAACTCTTGAAATATTTAACGTGTTTGCTAGCAGAGTGAAATTCGTTTTTCGGATAGAGGATCGTAGTATCTAATGAACAGACCCCAGTAAAGTCTACAAGCGTTCGCAGTATCATGCATATCTCCAATTTGAGATGTTGTGCAATGGAAGAAACATAACTAGAAGAAACCCTTTTCACTGCATACAATATTTTCAGATATTCTTATTGCGACAATTGATTTATCAAAGCTCTGCCTTCAGAAAGTACATTTTGGGTATTTACACTTTTTATATTAGGAATGGTATAGCTTGCCCTTCAAAGTCGAAATGTAAAATTTCGTGCCAAAGCGATGACGCTATAAGTTTTAGCGTTATGCATGTTTATTCTCTGACCTTGATAGCTAGATGTGTGGGTAGATGTGAACTACGGTCACATTCTTGGGAATCTGGAATAAATGTAAAATCTTATTGGCTGCTTCAAATATAGGTCTTCGATTGTTTAGCTGACCTGTAATCTAGGGTTATATACTTTTAGATATACCTGGATTTTCAATATTCGAACTAGAGTTAAGGCATTTGAAATAAACTGCCATGGTCCACGAGAGCTAGGGTATTTTAATGAGTTCTCTTTCACTGTAGAAATTTTAATCTATTTTTGCTATTAAAAATGCAATTTTCCACGTAGAGGATAACCCATTGAGCACTTTTCTTGACGTTTCACAACATTATACGTGACGTATCAAAATTAAATCATGTAGATATTCCTTTCATTCAGTTTATGAAAGAATGAAACAAAGCACTTGTCTGTATAACACTTTATTTGCCAAATCAAGAGGCTTTCCATAGAATTGAGCACCCTGAGAAGATCTCACTTCATACAATGCCTTCGCAAGTTCTCAAACGAGCCTTTCTCATCAAAGTACATTTCCTGCACAAAAAAGAGTAAAATTGCTCCCCATTACTTTAATAAATGCTCGGAAGAACACGGAGTATGTCATGCATTAATTTCCCGCCAAGTCGGTGAAAAACAACCAAAGTGCCACTATGGTGCATGGTTCCGCGTGACGTCGTAAAGTAACATAGTAAACCAGATGACTGCCGGTCTACGAGGGTAAGATGAAATGTTTTCGGCCTCACTCAGACATGGCGCTCTAATCAGAGGAAATTTATAATTTTTGCATAGGTGCATTTGTCTTTCATGGACAAACTTGAATATCGTGCTGTCATTAAATTCTTCGTACTGGATGGATTAACCTTTGAGTTAATTCTTCTGTAGTCTAGTGGGGTTCTGCTCCCTCGATTTCAACTGTTTACGTGCACACGTCATTTCACATATGAAAAGGTTTAACTTGGTCTTCAAGGTAGATTGTTAACACGAATTTTTTAAATGAACGTATTACTTGTATTACAAAACCTCTTGCAAAAATGGCGTCAATGGGACACTTCCTACGTCTTCTAAAATGATTTTTCCATGTAGTCGATGGTGTGGGTTTTGACTCCTATGTTCCCAAAGTGGAGAAATACAGAGTTTCTTACTCGTGATTCTTTCAATTAATGCAGGTATAAAGAATGGGTCACGTCTATTAAAAAGACTCGAATATAATTGAAGTCCGAGGAGTTTAGTCTAATATATTAACTAATTTCTCCGAAATAATTGTAAAGTCTGGTTTTATTGGTGCAAGTTGTTCAGTTGAGAGAGAATGAGAAAACGTATTTTTTGAGATCGAAAGTGTTGACAGAAACAAAAAACTTTCCATACAAGATTTGTAGGTATTTATGAGACCACACGAAAAAAGACCTGACTAATATTAAAAATGTTATGGCCGAAAAACGAGGCAAAATGCAGGTTTTGGCACTTGGTAATGCGACGATAATTTCATGAAACTACTTGAAATTCTTAAAATTTGTAGGATACGTAGTTCTAAATAGCAACAACAAAATTGGATTTCATTGGTCGAGTAGTTTGAGAATTTCTAATTGTTTGTACCAAAACACCTGTCCTCCGGCCATCACAACTAGTTTATTGAGCAATATACAGGGTTCGTTCAAAGAACATTTAATAGCAAAATACACGTGTTTACCTTGCCGATATGAATTACAAACGATTCCGAAAGATAAATGTCATTTTATGCAAAAAACAAAGGTTATGTTTTTTTCTTCTAAAAAATTCAAACATTTCGTATTTGCGGGTAATCGAACAAATGCCCTACGATATTCGAAAAACATACGTGACTATGCACATTTCAAAACAAAGCGGATGTGTCTATCATCTTCTGTTGCGAATTACTCATAAATACGGAATGTTTGAATTTGTTTAACCCTTAAGTACCATGGCGGGGTCAAATTTGACCCTCCACGTTCTGTATGCCAAATTTCGCTAACAAAGTATTTAAGACGCGCTGCGCGCGTTGTGCTAATCTTCGACTTGTAGGTCATTTATCGATCACAAAAATCCCATCAGTTTATCTGTTACCACTGCAGAGTTAGGCACATGTAGGGTCAAATTTGATCTGTTTATGGTATAAGTGTTTCTAGTGCGAGTAGCAAGTAAGTTAAAATGGCGGCGTGTAGTGGCAATACACGCGCTCTGACACAGAAAGAACATGAAGCGGAGGCGCAAAAAATGATTTCTAACCTCTTTAGGTCAAAAACTTATTAAGGACCATTTGACTCGTAGAGCTTGGCATGTTTACCGAGAGAACTACGTCATTTTTAAAGTTTCCGAACTTTACGACCCAGTGGAGGGGAAGGTGTAAAATATGGCCATTTTAAAAATCAAAAGAAAGAGAGCTCGTCGTGCGATAAATGTCGAGAATTTATTTGCAAAAATCAAGCCCGCACGAAGACGTTACCTATGCATAAGTTATGTTGAATAGTAAGCTCAAAAAATTACTTGTCATTTTTTAGATACGAAATCTAAATCAATTTTTTTATTTTAGGTAGCAGCCATGATACTTAAGACTCACCACTGAATAAAAGAAAACTGAAAATTTTTATAATTCTTATAGTTTTAGAAAGTTAATTTTTTAATTTTTGTTAATTTCTCTGGATACCGAAGATTTCTTTTTAAAATAAAGTTATAACTAAATTGTAAAACTAGTTGAAAACAAAATATCTTAACATAAAAACAAGGTACAAAATTAGATTTTTTATGTGGAAAAAAACAAAATAAATTTGACCCTGCCATGGTATAAATGTTACTGTTTTTGGCCATGGTAGTTAAGGGTTAAAAGAAAAAACGTAACCCATCCTGTTTTGCATAAAAGTAACATTTATCTTCCGAAATGGTTTTTATTATATTATGTTGCTATTAAATACCCTTTGAATTAACAATGTATATTGCTCAATAGACAAGTAGTGATGGCCGGAAAACAGGTATTTTGGGACAAACAATAGGAAATTCTCAAAAACTACTTGACTAATCTACTCCAATTTTTGTTGTGGTTCTCATAAATACCTGAGTCTTTTCGTTCCTGTCAACACTTGCGATTGAATCCCAAAAAACACGTTTTCTCATTTTTTGTTGTCGAATAAAAATTTTCCCACAAAAATTTTACCCATTTTATGCGTCCACGTTTTGAATACCCCTTGAACAACTTGCAGCAATTAAACCTGACTTTACAATTATTTCGTGAACCAGTGGTATTTTCGTCTAATATGAGTAGACTAGTTATTTTCATTTGAATAGAATATATCTTCAGCCTTTACATCTTAAACTGGAGAAAGCTATCTGCAAATGCAACATATACAACTCCCTATCCCTTAAATGATTAACCGCCAATGTACAGCTAATTTTTTTTAAAATGAGTTCTCTGAAATGTCGAAGAATCACCGACTCTTATTTTTTCGTTTGTGGCTATTGCACTGCCGTCACTGAGTCAATTTTCGAAATCCATAAAGCATTTTTATTGTCTTGTATCAAAATCTCAAAAAAACTCGAGCGGTATGATTTTTCGTGATGTACGAGTCTTGTAATATCCAAAAACATAATACATGCTTTTTCGGAATTATTCGGGATTACAGTACTTCTTCACTATTTGGCGTGAGACGTAAAGTCACTATACGCTTCTGATACTGTCGGACATTTTTCAGGGCCAACTAAGCCAGGTTTCCAAATTTATTCGACTTTTCGGTTTTCGTGGAAATGTAAAATTTCACCCTCGTATCAACTAGGATGTTATCGTCCCAGGCAGCGTTTCCCATTTTCAACGGTAAATATGAAATATTTGTCCCACGCCGCGACTTGGTATCATCTTCACGTCAGCTCCGGGAGTGTATTTATAAGAGGTTTGGAGCTCACAGTGTCGACTAACCACACATAGGCGTCCCGGACAAAAGTCTTACTTCCTAAATATTTCATTATTACCTTTCAAAGTTTCTAGCGATTGTGTAAAATATACGCCCGAGCCCATCACTTCTTGAAACAAAAAAGAACTGCGTTAAAATAAGGGATTATTATTAATACCGATATGTATGTATATCGGCTGTATTGGCCTGAGTTGTGGAACAAGTTTGAGACCTAATAAGTATGCGATCCATCTATCGAAAACTGCATACATCAAATTAAAGTTACTGTAAGCAAATAGCTTCGTTTTGAATTTTTAAAACCCATAAAAACATAGTTGAAATTTTAGTCATGTCCAGCATTAACTATACCTTAACTTATGAATCAACAATTTGAGTGTAATCTCAAGGTAGTTGTACATAATACGAGGGATGTCTTTTAAGTTTTGCATATAGAAACATAGTAGGCCGCGCGAATCGAACGTCAGTACTGAATCTTAACCTCACTCTTTAGTAAACTTAAATTCAAAGTTTCACAACAATACGTGCAGTATTCTCACTACAGTGAATTTTTAAGTGTCACCAAGTCATTAGAAAAATGGAACTCAACCGAGAACATTTTCGCGCCATAATTTATTACAACTTTCAGAGACAATTATCGCAACAAGAATGCCTTGCTGAGTTACTGTCTGTTTTCGGCAACGAAGCGCCACATCAGTCGAAAATTTCCCGTTGGTATGGAGAATTCAAACGTGGACGGGTGAGTCTTAGCGACGATCCCAGGGTGGGTGCACCAAAAACGGCAGTCACCCAGGAAAACGTCGATGCTATGCGCAAACTCATCATTGAAGATAGACATGAGACATATCGCGAGATTGAGGCGTCCTTGAAGATCTCAAAGACCTTAATTCAAAAAAATGTACATGAAGAATTAGGAGTAAGAAAATTAGTTTCTCGTTAGATACCCCACTTGTTGACTGAAGAGCAGAAAGCAGCCAGGGTTAATTGGTGTCAAAAAAACACTTGATCGTTTCAATTCCGGAAACTTAAAAAATGTGTACAGCTTTATTAGTGGTGATGAATCGTGGTTTTACTGTTATGAACCAGAAAATAAACGACAGTCGGCTGTTTGGGTGTTCCAAGGTGAAGAAAAGCCAACAAAAGTCATCCGTTCTCGAAGTGTTTCGAAAAAGATGATCGCGACATTCGTGTCAAAAGCGGGTCATATTGCAACAATTCCTCTCAATGAGCAAAGAACTGTTACTGGGGATTGGTATACCACCAGTTGTTTGCCAAGAGTCATCACCGAGCTTCGAAAAATCAACCCCGAAAGAAGAATCAACCTCCACCAAGACAATGCAAGCTCGCACACAGCCCAAAAAACAAGGCAGTATTTAACGGAAGAAAACGTGGAATTATTGGACCATCCTTCATATAGTCTCGATCTAAGTCCTAACAATTTCTTTACTTTCCCGAAAATTAAAAACAGACTGCGTAGTCAAAGGTTCCAGTCACCAGAAGAAGCAGTTGACGCATTCAAAAATGCCGTTTTGGATCTGCCAGCAAACGAGTGGGATAAGTGCTTCGAAAATTGGTTCGAGCGCATGCAGATGTGTATTAATCTTCGTGGAGAATACTTCGAAAAATAATAAAGTCATTTAAAACTACCTACCGTATTGCTTTATTTCCATATGCAAAACTTAAATGACATCCCTCATATAATATGTACTTAGCAGTCTATTTATCGTCATAGTAAATTGACAACTACAGGAATGATTAATCTTAGAGATCGGAAGCATAATAATAATCTTGCTACACCGTATTGTTTAATAAATGTTTTGCTTTTAATAATGAGGTTTTACAACTCGACCAACCCTGCCTGGAGAATGGAAAAGCAAAACTGTTGTAACATTCAGGTAGCTGGTTGAAAATCAGATGTTAGATGTGTTTTTATTTTCATTATCGACCGATACGGCTGAACTTATTCCGAAAAACCGAAACAAATCACAAAGTAAATAAAGTTCAAAATTGTTGAACTGATAAAGGGCCATTCGTAAATATATGTAGATCTTTTATATATTAATAAATAACTTTTCAAAGGATTTTATTAAGGACTAAATCTTCAGTCCATCCAAATTACAAAGGTTTACAATGAAGTGGCTATTACGTGTCTAACTGGGGTATTGAACATCGAGATGTGGCTGTGAGAGCTATTAAAACTATCGGGATTGCTTACAATGCATTTGTAGAAGACGCTATGCACGCAACAGATTAGCGAGCAGTTGTTATCTTATGCTGATTCAGTGTATAATGCAACATTGTATTATGACCTTGCTAAGAGCATATAACATATATTTTCATAAATTATATCAATGTAATCTGAACTTGAAGTCGCCTCACTACGACTCATGACTGTGAACACTGAGTTTCACGAATCGCAATCTTGCGAACCCGAGTTTCGCCAAAATTTCAATTTGAAGCCTTTTCATTTTGCATTCAAATTGCATCTAAAGGGTGTTTTTTAGAGGTATAGAACTTTAAATTGCAATTAAACAACGATGGAGTATTCAATTGACATGCATTTTTTATTCGAAAGATAATCTTGTCGCATTACATATTAAATATGATTTCTGGCACATGACTGCCACGGCTGGCTCGGATGTAGTCCAATCTTCACGTCCAATTTTCGATGCCTTTTTCCAACATTTGTGGCAATAACATGGCGAATGCTGTCTTCCAAATGGTCAAGCGTTTGTGGCTTATCCGCATAGACCAATGACTTTACATAGCCCCACAGAAAATAGTCTAGCGGTGTTAAATCACAAGATCTTGGAGGCCAATTCACAGGTCCAAAACGTGAAATTAGGCGGTCACCAAACGTGTGTTTCGATTGTAGCACGAGCTGTGTGACATGTTGCGCCGTCTTGTTGGAACCACAGTGCCTGGACATCATGATTGTTCATCTCAGGAATGAAAAAGTTAGTAATCATGGCTCTATACCGATCACCATTGACTGCAACGTTCTGGCCATCATCGTTTTTGAACAAGTACGGACCAATGATTCCACCAGCCCATAAAGCGCACCAAACAGTTTTCTGGATGTAACGGTGTTTCGACATAGACTTGAGGATTAGCTTCACTCCAAATGAGGCAGTTTTCTTTATTGACGTAGCCATTCAACCAGAAGTGCGCTTCATCGCTAAACAAAATTCGCTTATGGAAATCGGGAACAACGGCAATCTTGTTTTGGGCCCATTCAACGAATTTTTGGCTTCAATTCTTGCACGAGTTGGATTTTATAAGCACGCAAACCAAGATCCTTCCGCAAAATTTTTCATAAAGTGGATGGACACAGATAAAATTCCTATGCTCGATGGCGGATGGACTCATTCGGGTCTTCCTCAATGCTACGCTCTACAGTAGCAATTAGCTTCTTCTGTACGCACCGTACGGCGTCTCTGGAGATGCGAGTTATCAATTAGAGTAAACGTGGTGCGAAAACGTTCCATGGTTAATCGAATTAACTGCTCTGATGGACGATTTTGTCGACGATAAAATGGACGTAGTGCGCGATACGTATTCCGTACAGAACC